TCTCTTATTTCGTTGAGCAGTGGTTTGCAGTTCTCCTTGAAGAGGTCCTTTACATTCAAAGCTTTTTACCCACTCTGTGGGTTGTCTGTTTATTGTGCTGATTATTTCTTTGGCTGTGCAAAAGCTTTTTATTTTAATTCAGTTACATCTATTTATCTTTATTTTTGTTGCATTTATCTTTGGGTTCTTGGTCATGAAGTCTTTGCCTAAGCCAATATCTAGAAGTCCCTTCCAATGTTGTCTTCTAGAATTGTTATGCTTTCAGGACTTAGATTAAAGTCCTTGATCCATCTTAAGCTGATTTTTGTATAAGGTGAGAGATGGAGATCCAGTTTCATTCTTCTACATGTGGCTTGTCAATTATCCCAACACCATTTGTTGAATAGTGTGTGTTTTCTCAACTTTATATTTTTGCTTGCTTTGCTGAAGATCAGTTGGCTGTAAATATTTCACTTTATCTTAGGGTTCTCTATCCTGTTCCACTGGTCAATGTGCCTTTTTTATATAAGTACCATGTTGTTTTGGTGACTATGGCTTTATAGTATAGTTTGAAGTTGGGTAGTGAGAAACCTCCAGATTTGTTCTTTTTTCTTGGTCTTGCTTTGTTTATGGGGGCTTTTTTTTCTTTTTTCTTTTTTTGTCCTATATGAATTTTATGATTTTTTTCTAGATCTGTGAAGGATGATGGTATTTTGATGAAAACTGCATTACATTTGTAGATCACTTTTTTTTTTAATTTATTTTTGAGATGGAGTCTTGCTTTGTGACTTTGGCTGACATGATGCGATGGTGTGATCTCAGCTCACTGCAACCTCCACCTCCCAGGTTCAAGACATTTTCCTGCCTCAGCCTCCCAAATATCTGGGATTACAGGCATGCACCACCATGCCGGCTAATTTCTGTATTTTTAGTAGAGATGGGGTTTCACCATGTTGGCCAGGCTAGTCTGGAACCGTGACCTCAGGTGATCTGCCTACCTCAGTCTCCCAAAATGCTAGAATTACAGATATGAGCCACCTCACCCAGCCTGTAGATTGCTTTTGGTGGTATGATCATTTTCATGGTATTTATTCTACCCATTCACAAGCATGGGATGTGCTTCCATTTGTTTGTGTCATCTACAATTTATTTCAGTAGTTTCTTTAGTTTTCCTTGTAAAAGTCTTTTACTTTATAGTTACGTATTTTCCCAAGTATTTTATTTTTCCTGCAGCCTTTATAAAATGGGGGTGAGTTCTTGAATCATTCTCAGCTTGGTTACTATTGATGTATAGCAGAGATACTGAGTTTTGTATATTAATTTTGTACCTTGAAACTTTGCTGATCTCATTTATCATTTCTAGATACTTTTTGGATAAGTCTTTAGGGTTTTCTAGGTATATAATTATGTTATCGGCAAACAGTGACAATTTGACATCCCCTTTACTAATTGAGTGTCCATTATTTCTTTCTCTTGTCTGATTGGTGTCACTAGGACTTCCAATACTATGTTGAATAGAAGTGGTGAAAGCAACCATCCTTGTCTTGTTCCAGTTCTGAAGGTGAATATTTTCAACTTTCCAATTCAGTACAATATTTGGTGTGGATAAGTCATAGATGGCTTTTTGTTACCTGAAGATATGTCCCTTCTATGTTGATTTTGCTGAGGATTTTAGTAAAAAAGTGATGCTTGATTTTGTCAAAAGTTTTTCCTGTGTCAATTAAGATGATCATGTAACTTCCATTTTTTATTCTGTTTGTGTAGAGTATCACATTTATTGACTTGTGTATGTTAAACAGTCCCTGTATCCATGGGGTATTGCATCCATGTTCATCAGAAATATTGGTGTGTAGTTTTCTTTCATTGTTATGCCCTTTCCTGGTTTTGGTATTAAGGTGATACTGGCTTCATAAAATGAGAATCCACTGAAGAGATTCAACCAAGTGTGGAGGAATGAGTTCAGAGACCCTTGTAGACAAGGAATCTGGCCACTTTTTTTTTTGTATAGCAGCTGTTCTGTGCTAAGAGTTGTTGGGAAAAGCTGTAAAGGACAAAGGACTTACAGAGTGCCTACATAAATTGGTTATGAGTAGCATATAAACAAGGAACAACAAATTGCAGAAGGTGGCAGGAGGCCTCTGAGGAGGAAGGCCTCTTCATGCCTCATGTTCTGGTGCAGGGTGACGTAGGCTCTGTTACCATAAACAATGTGCTCGAGGATGCAAATCCCCTTCATGGCACTAAGACATAGCCAGATTTGTAGGCATCTTGTAAGGCCCACGTTACATCAGCTGCACATAGATAATAAGCTAAAGATAATCACATGTTCTTGTTTTGTGAAACTCCCAAACCACCACTGTTATCAACCCTTAGAATGACACACCAGTTCCGGTTCACTGATTCAGTTCCACCTCACTGATTCACTCCACCATGACCCTCTCCCCATCATTACTCCATCCCTGCCCTGTAGATTAAAGTGATTGTAATCAACAAATAGTGTGAATGTTCAGAGCTCGGGGCCTTCACTGTCACCTCCAGAGTGATGAAGTGATGGTCCCCTGGTCCCACTTTTTCTCTTAATCTTTTTCTCATTCCTTTGTCGCCACTGAACTTGGGGTACCCATGGGTGATGTAGGGCTGGATCCCTACATTTTGATGCCCAATTTGAGGCTCATGGATCCCTACGTTCTGGCACCCAGTGTGCAGGGCTCATGGATTCCCTACAAAGAGTCCACTTCAGCCCCCAGTCACCTTGAACTCTCCAAATCCTAAAGGCAAGGATCTAGGTGGATTACATGTTTCCAGGAATTTATCCATCCCCTCTATGTTTTCTAGTTTATCTGTGTAAACGTGTTCATAGTAGCCTTGAATGCTTTTTTTTGTTTGTTTTTCTATGGTATTGGTTATAATATCTCCCATTTTGTTTATAATTGAGATTATATTGAATCTTCTTTCTTCTTTTCTTGGTTAATCTCACTAATGTTCTATCAGTTTTATTTATCTTTTCAAAAACAAGTTTTTCATTTCATTTATCTTTTGTATTTTTGTCTGTTTCAATTGTATTTAGTTCTGCTCTGATCTTGGTTATTTCTTTTCTTCTGCTGGATTTGGGTTTTGTTTGTTCTTGTTTCTATAGCTCCTTGAGATGTAACCTTAGATTGTCCATTGTGCTCTTTCAGACTTTTTGATGTAGCATTTAATGCTATGAACTTTGTTCTTAGCAATGCCTTTGCTGTATTCCAGAGGTTTTGATAGCTGTGTCACTATTATCATTCAGTTCAAAGAATTTTTAAATTTCCATCTTGATTTTATTGTTGACCCAATGATCATTCAGGAGCAGGTTATTTAATTTTCATGCATTTGCATGGTTTTGAGGTTTCCTTTTGGAGTTGATTTCCAATTTTATTCCACTGTGGTCTGAAAGAGTACTTGCTACAATTTAGATTTTCTTAAATTTGTTGAGACTTGTCGTGTGGCCTATTACAAGGTCTGTCTTACAAAATGTTCCATGGGCTGATGAATAGAATGTATACTCTGCAGTTGTTGGGTAGAATGAGCTATAAATATCTGTTACGTCTATTTGTTGTACCGTATAGTTTAAGTCCATTGTTTCCCTCATAATTTTCTGTCTTGATGACCTGTCTAGTGTTATTAGCAGAGCATTAAAATTCCCCACTTTTGTTGTGTTGCCATCTATCTCATTTCTTAAGTCTAGTTGTACTTGTTTTATATATTGTTTTATATATTTTATACTTGTTTTATATATTTGGGAGCTTCAGTGTTAGGTATATATATATTTAGGATTGTGATATTTTCCTGATGGACAAGTCCTTTTATCATTATATAATGTCCCTCTGTCTTTTTTTAACTGCTCTTGCTTAATGTTTGTTTTGTCTGCTTTTGGTGGCTTATTGCATGGAGTATTTTTTTCTACCCCTTTGCCTTAAGTTTATGTGAGTCTTTTTTCCCATGAGGTGCTCCCTTGATGTGGTGTTCTTCCTTTTCCCCTAGGGATGTGGCTTCCTGGGAGCCAAACTGTAGTGATTGTGTTTCTCTTCTGGATCTAGCCACTCAGCAGAGCTACCAGGCTGCAGGCTGGTATAGGAGACTGTCTGTAAAGAGTCCTGTGATGTGATCCATCTTCAGGTCTCTCAGCCATGGATAGCAGCACCTGCTCTGGTGGCTGCAGCAGGAGATTGAAGTAGACTCTGTGAGGGTCCTTGGTTGTATTTTTGTTTAGCGCATTGGTTTTGTGTTGGTTTGCCTCCAGGCAAGAGGTGGTGTTTTCAAGAGCACATCAACTGCATTATTATAGGGAGGATGCAAGCTTTCCCTAAGGTCAAGCAGTGGGCAGGGCCGTAGAGCTCCCAAAAGATTATGTCTTTTGTCTCCTGCTACCATGGCAGGTACAGAAAGACTACCAGTGGAGGCAGGATTAGGCATGTCTGAGCTCAAACTCTCCTTGGGGAGGGCTTGCTGCAGCTACTATGGGGGGTAAGTGTGGTTCCCAGGCCAAAGGAATTCTGTTCCCAGGCACATATGGTTGCTTCTGCTGCATCACACAGATTACCGTGGAAGTGGTGAAAGGCAGCAGCCACAAACCTCACCCAGCTCCCATGCAGCCTTCCAGCCCGAAAGGCCCATCTCACTCCCAGTGTTCCCTGCCACCAGCATTGAAATTATTTCCAGGCGGTTGGTGCACAGGGCTGATATTTGCTCTTATCCCAGGTTACAAGCCTCCCAGCTGAGAAAGCAAGCAGGCTCAGTTCCTCAGCTATTCCCTGGATCCTGCAGTGGCAATCCACTGCTTACAAAGAATCTGTGGATTCTCTTGGTTTTCTTGGTATGTTACTGCAGTAGTTCTTGGAGCAGAATTTCATGATGTGAGTCTCTGCATGGTGCTCTGTCTATCTGAGTGCAAGTTGTCAGTTATTCCTGCCTGCTTTTCACCATTTTCCTCCTTCCTCCAAGAATGTCTTTTCAAGTTACGTCTTAGTTAAATTAAAACAACAACACAGTGATATGATTTGGATCTATGTCCGCACCCAAATCTCAGGTGCAATTGTGATCCCCAGTATTGGAGGTGGGGCATGGTAAGAGGCAATTAGATCATATGGGCAGTTTCTCATGAATGATTCACCACTGTCTTCTTGGTGCTGTTCTCATGAGTGAGTCCTCACAAGACCTAGTTGTTTAAAAGTGTGTAGCACCTTTTCTCTCACCCTCTCCTTCTCCTTCTCTGCCTCTCTCTCTCCCTCTCTCTTTCTCTCCTCCTCCTCATCATCCTCTCATCCTCTTTCTCCTGCCCCCACCATTTGAAGTGTCAGCTCCCTCTTTGTCATTTGCTTTCTGCCGTGATTGGAAACTTCCTGAGGGCTCCTCAAAAGCAGAAGCCACTGGGCTTTATGCACAGCCTGCAGAGCTTGAGCCAATTAAATCTCTATCTTTGTAAATTACCCAGTCTCAGGTATTTCTTTAGTAGTGTGAGAATATACTAATACAATAATAAATTAGGAGACTAGGCTGGAATGATATACATAAATTTGAAGATCCAGTATAAATTAGAAAGTCTGTAAAACCAAACATCCTTAACCCTACTTTTAGGAGAGAAAGTAAGGGAAAGATATGCTATGCTATTTTAGAATTATCTGTCTATTGTTTATAATTTTAACTTACTGCTTCCTGATGTTTATTTATTTTTTAAACTAAGATGCCAAAACTTATAAACTCCAGAAGAAAATTGTTAATTGTGATGTTAATACTGCTTTATTTGCTCTATTTCATATTTACTGTAGATAGTAGTAAAAATAAATGTACAGATAATGTGATTGTATTTCAGACCATAGCTCGTTCCCATGTTTTATTGAAAAATAATATACATACAGAGAGGTTCATATTATGTAAAGAGCTCATAGCAATACAGTGAACCTGAGCAGAAATTATCAAATGGTCCAAAATATTCTTCATTGAATATTTTTTAATTATTTAAAATATCAAAACACCTAATTTTCTATGTCATCTGAGTAAATGTTATATAAGGCTGGCAAAGGTATTAAACACTTTATTTCATAATCTGTCTCCATTAAATTTATTATTCTTCAAAGTTGCCACATAAAAGCCAGTAAAATCTCCCATTGCTATTGAATTATAAAAATATCACAGAAGCTGATCTTCAGTTGTATTATTTATTTATTTCTGTACATTGTTTGGGTCAGGAGTCCAGGCATGATTTAGGTTTAGCTGGAGCCTCTGCAAGGCTGTAATCAAGGTGGAGAGAATGAGCTGGGTTCTCATCAGGAGTAGGCTGGAGAAAGATCTCCTTCCAAGCTCTTGAAGTTTTTGGAAGCATGTGGTTTCTTGCAGGCTGCCAGAAACTGAGAGCCTCAGTTTTTGCTGGCTGTTGACAAAAACCTGTCCATAGCTCCTTGCCATGTGGCCCTGTTCACATGACATCTTACTGCATAGTTGTTTCTTCAAAGTCAGAAAACAAATGTCTCTTAGCAAAATGAGCATTACAATTTTATGTAACATAATTATATACATCTTTTCACCTTTGCCGTATGCTATTGGGTAGAAGCAAGTCATAGAATTTTTAATTCAGAGAAATTAAAAACCTAACCTAAATGAAGGTACCCACAATCAAATCTTCCGAATATGCCTATTGAAAAAGTTGGGAGAGACTAAGTTTTGCTGTGGTAAATAGCACCTATCAGTGGCTTAAAATAAAGGTGTTTATTTTTCACTTACACCAAATATATATCATAGGTCAATCAGGGATTTAATTGGAGTTAAATCTGTTTGGCAGCCACAAAATTTAGAATACAGCTTCCAGTTTTTGAAAATATGAATAGAAAAAATAATTTTAAATAAGATAAATTATTTTTGAACAATTTTATTAAAATAAATCTCATGGCAACAATAGACACTGGAAATACTAGAGTAGGGAGGATGGAAAGGTGACGTGGTTGAAAAGCTCCCTGTCAGGTACTATGCTCACTACCTGGGTGACAGGATCATTTGCGCATCAAACATCAGTGGCGTGCAATTTTTTCATGTAACAAATTTGCACATGTACCCTCTGAATTTAAAATAAGAGCCGAAATAACCCCATTATGTTGCACATCCTAAAAATATAAATAAATCTCATAAATATTAAACTTCATTATTACATTTTTCAACTGAGTCAATTTACAAATGATTTTGAGGAACTTACCTTTTGAATAAAATGAATCAAATACATCATAAAATTAGCATTTTGGTAATCAAAATTAGTCATTCAATTAAATTTCCTGAAGATCTTTTAAAAGAATAGACATGGTAAAGAAATAAGGAATTCTTAAGAAGATTAAGATTTTATTCCTGCTTGTATGCAGTGGAGTGTGGTAGTTAGCTATACCAGATTTCTTTCAACATAAAAAATATGATGCCATAACTTCAAAAAATAATGCAATTGGAATGAGCTTCTAGAACAAATACTGCTTTTCTTACACAAAAAGATGATGACAGTTGCTGTTTGACATGAAATAAGTATGCTGTCAAATAGTCATTTGTATGAATAACTACAACTTCATTTTGTTAAGTGATTGCTTCTCTTTGGGCATCTTACCAATACAGCTTCCAAGCACTGGATAAAATTATATAATAAATAATTATAAACCTTGACAGAATGCCTGCCTTATGTAAATCTGTTCAGGCAATCACTAAAAATAGAACTTCATACATCTTATCTGATCAGATTAATTATACTTAAAAACATAAACTAAAAATGATGCTATAATTTTAAAATGAAGAATGCCAAAATAATAATAATAGTTGTTACTTACAGAAACTACACATATAAAATTTAATGTTTCTGACAATATTTAAATTCTGCATTTATATTTTAAAGGCCTACTTTAAAATAGTATATGGTCTGTACTTGGTTACCTGGTGGCAGTGTTCTTACTTCATAAATTATCATAGTATAATGTTTGTCTTGGTCAAAGTAATTAAGATTCACAATTTAGTCCTCACAACACCATGAGATAACTGAGGCTTAAAGGCTAGGCAGTTTTATACAAAATGTGTATGCTAGGGCTTTCAAAAAAATGTTGGACTTACCAACATACAGTTACAACCATATAGATCTGATACTAGAATGGAAGGCTGATAACTGGGGAGAAATTAGAGATATAGGAAGGAGGCTAATCTGGAAAATAAGATGATGAGAAGTATCCATAGTAGTAGCATCAATAACGGGGAACTTGCAAAGATAACAAAGTGACCCATGATAGTATACAGTGATGGTTTTCAACATGTAGTCTCCAGAACAAAGACACCATTATCACTTGGAAACAGGTCTTAGGCCCCACCTCAGACCTACTGAAACAGAAGCTCTGTTGATTCTGATGCACTCTAAAGTTTAAGATTCACTGGTATAGAGTCATGGAAACTGAGAGAGGAAAAAAGGAAATTGTTCACATGTTGCATGCTAGTGAAGGCAAGCAAAATGAGAAGACAAGAGTATCTGTTAGAGTTTAGCATGGAAGTCACTGGAGGCTGCAATACAAGAGAAAGAAATGCATGCATACTAGTTTTTACAATGCAATATATTTATTAGGAAAATATAAAGACAATAGAGTCCGTGGGATGCACACACTGTGAGATTTATACTCAGTGATCTGGAGAAAACACGGAAAGTGATACTGAGAGTGATATATATATTTCTAGGACAGTTAGGAAATGTCAGGGAACTCTAGTCAACCTTGTAATAATGGAAGCTCCTTGGCCAGGGATGTGGCCTTGTAAGACAATAACTTAGTCAAGCGGGGTCACATACTAATGCCTTTTGTAGGAGATGGGGAAAGACCATTTGTTCTTTTGGTGAGCTTACCCAGTGCTGATGAGCCAGCTCTCTGCTGACCCAGGTAAAAAGGGAAGAGACAGGGCAACCAGGACTATGCACGGAGGTCACCCAAAAGACAAAAGTCTCTATTCTTTGACCTTGAAAGCTGCATGTCTAAACAAAAGTTTGACTATATCAGAGGGGAGTAAAAATCATGTGTAGCTCAAAAAAATATGTGACCAAGAATAATCTTTTTTAGAAAATATGGGTGATACTAGACCACATTGGTGTCCTTAAGGGAATGATTCAAAGAGAATACTGGAAATTCAAAATTGAAAGGATGCCTGGAGATGGGATCCAGAGTATATGTGAAGGGAATTGTCACAAAGGTTTAACTAGGAATAAAGAAAAAGAAGAGTTTGAATGCCGTTAGTTTTGTTGAGGGCATTCCTGTCTGCTAACTTGATGATCTCATGGTTTGGACCATCTCCTTCTAAGGATAAATGGACTGATAATTGAAGCAGTGTTAATAGTACTTTATGGACAATGGCTTGGCTGTGTAAGTCACCAAGTTTTTGGCCATGGAGACATAGAGAAGCAGAATTGGGTTTCAGGGTGGAATCAGAATTAAATAAGGCAACACCAGCTACGACATTCTTAGGAGCTTTAGCCAGGACTTAGCATGTTCACAGAACCTCCCTCCCTGCTATATGCATCACTATGCAGAGGCCACCCATATCCTGACCAGGGCCACTGATGCATTCACTAGCCCATGCACTTGAAAGCTGCTAGAACAAAGTAATCACTATTTCTTGACTCTTAAGCTAGTAATACCCAATATGAAGAAAGGGTCTTAATCACCATTAGATCATTATCACCTTTATACAGGGACTGGCTCACTTGTTCGGGTCAAGATGCAAGAAGGAAAGCATTATTCCTTTCCCTCTTGACATCTTTCTTCTGTTTCCCTCTACATCTACAAAGAAAGTGAACAGAAGAGAAATGACAAACTGCAATAATAAGAAAATGTGAAATGTCTACGAAAGACTCATTTTTCAGAATGTCTTGGAATTATACTCCGCACAAAGGGCTATGTGGTGACAGAGTTGGAAATATCTAACAAGGACAGAGAACATAAAAGCATAAAATAATGTGCTATGATTTCAGCTCTATTATCACTTTAGTGGAAGCAGGCCAAAAAATGTTGAGTATGTATATCTGATCTTAGAGGAAAAAATTCATTTACTTTTTTCATTAAA